ATGGGAGACATTGTGTGTGTTTCCATTTAAGTGTATTGGTGACTCATAAGCATTCTTGAAACATCTCGTCTGCCTTGAGATTACCAAGTACCACTGAGCCACCACAGCTCCAGCTGGCACACTGATACGGGCTTGGCAGATGGGCCTGTGCCATTCACTGTCTGACACTGCAGTCCTGAATCCAGCAACCACAATGGTACTCTGCACCTTCCTGAATGTTCCATCTCGGAACTTCAAACCCAGATCCTATTATATACCCAAAACTTTCAAGTGAGTTCTGAGCTCTCCTAGAGCAGTGGGTAAAGTAAAGAGATGCCAGTGAATGACTCCTTGATCCTTGATTTTTGCTTAGCGGGATGCAAGAGCAGTGCTTGGCAACTGAGAGACAGAATCAAATCTAGATTCAGACACTTTCTTTCCGCGTGATCTTGATGAAATTTTTGAATCTCGTACCTCAGTTTGCCACTTGCTCTCTGTGAATAATAAGAGTGACATGGATCTCAGAATGAGGGAAAGGCATGAATAGCTGATAATTTTATGGAATGGAGGCTACCAATACTGCAACACAAACAACACAAGAAGTATTAGGCTTATTCTAATTCAGAGAGTTTGTGACTGCACTATTATTCTGAAACTTGAAGTTCATCCCAAACATGGATCCAACATCTAAAACCCATGGACGAATGGAAAGAGTTATAGCTGCTGACAACTGTTAGGAATGCAAAAATTCTAAATAGGGAGTTTCTTTTCTTCTTGCAATTGTAAATTGAGAATATATTTTTACTGGATCAATTTCTCAGCTGAATTCTTGAGTCTTTTACTGTATTAGAGATCACTCAAATAACACATGTTTCATTTTAATTTCACTGATCTTTGCAGCACGATGTTAGGTGTTAGGGTTAAACAAACCCACATTGACATACACAGAAATATAAGAAAATAATTTTCTAGTGATTTGTACCCAAAAAAAGTCAACTTGGATCTGAAAATTTTTAAATGTGTATTTCCTTTTCAAAACTACAGACAAGGTTTAAATGTTCTCCAAAATCCAACACAAAATAACTGTTTTAACCTGGGAATGTAGTTGGACAGAAATTGAGGTGAGGCAGTAGGTTGGGTATGATCAAATTTTATTTTAGTATGAAATTCACAAAGACTAAGGAAAAATATGTTTATGTTTTTATCTTTTATATTTTAGTCACTATTCGCATCATTATACCTTTTCAAACTCTTGTTTGTATAGTTTCTTGGCATGGTTGTTTTTCAGGAACATTATAATTCATGGGTTTGCTTCCTCGTGTCTGTCTCTGCATCTCTGTCTCTGTCTCTTCTTTCACGTGTGTGTGTGTGTGTGTGTCAAAGGACAACTTCACGTGTTGGTTCTCTTCTTTTTGCTTGTTCTGAGACTGGGTGTTTTGTTGTTTTTCATTATGTTGTAGAAAATTAGTTGAAGATGTACTTTATTTGTTCATGGTGTGGAGCATTTGTTTAATAATGCAAAAATGTGTTGCATTCTTTTATGTTACATTTGTTTAACTCTGACATCTGTGTTACTTTGTCTGCCTAAAGCATCTCATTGGTCTAATCAAGAGCTGAATGGTCATTGCCAAGGCAGGGCTGGCAAGCAGAGAGAATAAATAGGAGGAGATATCTGAGAAGAAAGATTAGAGGATCAAGAAAAGAAGAGAAGGGGGCATCAGGGGCCAACCACCCAGCTATACAAACAGCAATGGAATAATAAAGAAAGAAAGGTATATAGAAAAGAGAAAGATAAAATCCCACAGGCAAAAGATAGAAAGGATAGTTTATGTTAAGAAACACTGGCTAGAAACAAGTCAAGCTAAGGTTGAGCATTCATAAGTAAGAATAAGCCTCCGTGTGATTTATTTGGGAGCTGGATGGCACCCCCCAAAAGAATAAAGCAAACAACAACAACAACCACTACACACACCAGACTATCTACCTAAGGCCCTGGGATTCCCTTCCATTTCCCATTGTGCAGTATAAGCAGTAGACTCTAGATACACTACTGCTGTGTGTCAGCTGCCTGTCTAGATGCAGTGTGTCCAGTTGTCTGTGCATCTCCATGTGCATCTTTACTCTTCCATGACAAGTGCTTTACCCACAGTGCCATTTCCCCAGCCTCCCTTCTCTTTTATAGGTGTCACCTCCCCAATTCTCATTTTATGTCTTCAACTCCAACATTTCCCATAAATTATAAGAGTAACATTCTTATTTGACTTATTTCACTATCTATGTTTTCGGGCGGGTTATTTTTCTTTCCTTTATATGTGGAAACTTTGGAAGTGCATTAGCCGGGGGCCGACTTGGGCCTCCTGTATAGCACTCCCACTGAGCCACCAGTGCTGCCTCTTGCCACCTCTAACACCTACTTAGCCTTACATTACACTTTCATTTCTCTAGCAGCTTTATAGCTCAGCACATTTTACCTTTATGAGTCCTGCTTTATTTGGGAATGTCACTCAACTACAGATCTAAGAAATCCACTGAACCAATGTATATCTCCCACTCAGCTTCTCAGGTTGAAGCAGCCTTGAGCTAAAAGTAGACTGGTTTTTAAAGTACTACACATGTGAAAAAATAAATAGTACTCATATGAAGTGACAAGTTCTAATTTGCCCAGATCAAGAAGAAAATTTGAGGAGGTGTTTGATGGGGGAAAGATGCAGTAGTCCAAACAGAAATCAGAAAGAGGAGGTTGGTCAAAGTAAGATCATGGGGAGTCTGAAGCACACTAGCAGGCTGTTAAGGCCTCTGTAAGATCATGGCGAGTCTGGCACACTAACGAGAAGGTTGGTAAAACCTCTGTAAGATCATGGGGAGTCTGAAGTTTAAGAAAGAGAGAGAGAGAGAGACAGAGACAGAGACAGAGAGACAGAGAGATACAGACAGAGACAGAGAGGTGGGGCTGTTAAGGCCTCTGTAAGATCATGGGGAGTCTGAAGTTTAAGAGAGAGATACCAGAGAGACAGAGAGACAGAGAGATACAGACAGAGACAGAGACAGAGACAGAGACGGAGACAGAGACAGANAGACAGAGACAGAGACAGAGACAGAGAGGTAGGGCTGTTAAGGCCTCTGTAAGATCATGGGGAGTCTGAAGTTTAAGAGAGAGAGAGAGAGCTGTTAAGGCCTCTGTAAGATCATGGGGAGTCTGAAGCACATGTGAGGCCTGTTAAAGTCTCTGAATAGAAAGTTTTCTTACAAACACTGTAATGGTGAGAGAGGAAGCAGGTGTCTATGAAGCACATCTCCCATCTGTTGCCCCCATCAATACTGCTGGACAGAGGGAACTGCACCCTGGGAAATGAATGAGCTGATGGTCATGATTATCATGACCTACTGGGCTTCCTAGCAGTCACACAGCTCACTGATCTGAACGTTCTTTCTGGCTCTGGGGAGTGAATCTTATTGAATCCTTCCTAGACCTGGAGAGATGCCCCAAAAGTTAAGAGCACTTGTTCTTCAGGGGACCTGGTTTTGGTTCCTGTCATTCACGTTAGGTAACAACCATTTGTAACTCCAGTTCCAAATGATTCAGTACCCTCTTCTGATCTCCATGGTCACTGTACACAAGTGGTACACAGGCATAAAATGCGGAAAAAGCACCCATATACATAACATTTAAAAAATAAATCCTTTAAAAGAGTGAGCTCTTTCCTCTCTGGCATTTCAAATTGTTTTGTTTCATAAATAAGCATACAAGATGGGAAGTATGGATAAAAATGTAAGGATTGTTTCCCACAGCAATGAGAAGTCACAAGGAAGGGAGGAGGTCAACATCAGATCAAGCCAAGGTCATCAGCTTCCTGAAAGACCTGCTGCAGCCACCCTTCCCTGTGCTGTGACAGCTTGAGGAGGAAAGTCACTGTGCAGGGTACAAAACCTGGACCACATCAAAAAGAATCCTTATTAAAGTAGAACCTGACATATTACCCATTTAGAAGTGCCAGTGGCCATTCCAGAGCACCCAGGTAAAGCCAAGGCCATAAACTCTAAAAGCGTGGACCCAGAACATACGTTCATCCATCTTTTAGCAGCCTGGAACTTGATATGGAACCAACGGTTTTCCTGAAAAAGCTTTTATATACATGGTATCCAACCAGTCAAGGACTGTTCTCACTATGCCCAGCAATAGGCCTCTAGAAGGTTAAATATCAGAAAGAGCAAACAGAAGAGAGGTTCTCCCAGCCATTTATAATGGTGGCCAGTCTTGCCTGAGCCTCAGCACTCTGGTCTTCAGGATCATCTAGCTGTAAATGGATATTCTCTGAGGGAGAGCAAAGAGATAGAGGAAGCTTACAGTAATGATGCCTCAGAGGCATGATTATAAAAGAAGCCCTTATAGAAAACTGAAACCAAACCTTTAGAACAGACTTGCCACTTTCCTGGGTCAGGAACAAACGCATAAAAGAAATGTCACTCTCCTGGTCAAACGAGTATTGGCTGGGACATGCACACATCCTTGATCCATCACTTAAATAAGTCTCTAGCTTGTATCTTCTCTAGACTGAAAAGATATCACAAGACATCTCTATGCAGTACAGCACACATAAAAAGGGGTCGAGAGTCTTGCCTAGGACATACCGGTGATTATTACTGCCCTAGAAGCAGAACCAAGTTTCCCAAATGCATTGAATCACATTCTGAGTTTTCAATCTCTCAGAATGGTTTAATGGCAAACTTAGAATATTTCTTCATAAGGAAGGAGGAAACTTAAATAAAAGCAATAACAGTCTGTGTTGTGTTGACCTCCAAGTCATAGAAGGTGAATTTATATGCTTAAAAGTTTAGGGTAGTAAAGATTAGGGAGACAAGACTACTTCTTTCACAGACAGGGGAGAGTTGGCTTCTCGTGGCAGAGGTAATCACCAAAACTCGGGGGTGGATTGAGGGCCTGGGCATGCAACTGCAACAGAAGACAATTAGCTTCTGGCAGTCAGCAAAAACACAAGTGCCCATGTTTAAAAGGGGGAAAACTGTGTATTGCCAGAGGGTTCAAGGAGAGTAGACCCTGCCACAGAAAAGAATTGTGTTGGTTGGATTGTGTCGAATGAAAAAGAGAAAAGGGTGATTGGCATTAAACTCCACCCAGGATGGAATGGCCTTCTCGGCAGTGACAGCCCCGCTGGCTGCAGCCGCCTCTGTGCCCATCTCGTCCACCTCCACAAAGCTCTTGTGGATAATTTTGGACAAATACAGATTGGGACTCTTAGAGATTCCACTCAGGTCAGCCTTCGTTTCATCGAAGATGTCCTTAATGCCCATGTCTTGTAGAATAGAGTTGAGATCGTAGCTATCTTCCATGATGAACTGGGGGAAAGAAATGGCTACTGATTCTTCAGGCATATTTTCTGAGCTACTCCAGGACATGATTTTTTCATGGCTTATTTTGTTTTCAAGCTATAATAATAAGAAAATAATTTTAGGGTCAGATTACAAGCCGGCAAAAGTATCTATCTCAGTTACTTCAAAGTTCCCGAGTTAATCTGTTTAATAGTCAGCTATATAGACGCCAAAGACTTTCTCTAAACTTCAAAATATGTTTACTTCAATCTTTCCTCTCTAGACTTTGTTTAACTTTCCCCCTTGAAATTTCAGGCCAATCAAAATCCCACTGTGTTTTGGTATTTGGCAGGTTCATGCTCAAAGACCAGAAAAATTCAGTTGGGTAGGCTCAGGCCAGCCCTGCCACAGTGAAGTAAAATTTCCTTTCCCATAAAGCAGAGATAACACAATAAGGCTCTTCTGAGGACCAAAGTAATGTGTGTAATGCACTTAGCATACAGTAAAATAATGCTGGTGTGTCTTGTATTGTGAACAATGGCAGTTACTGTAACTACACTGTTGATATATTTCTATTTCTGTTTATCTATCTCCCTATCTTCTCTTTACTCCTCTTCCAAGAACAGAGATATCTGGACCTTGACAGCATTTATTGACTCCTTTCTGTTAGTATCAGAATTTCTACTTCTACCAAATGGCATGTTTCCAAAACAATTGCAGCTAAAAAGGCAGATATGGCAGAGACCAAAGGGCAAGCTACTTTAAAAGGAGGAACTTCTCAAACTACTTGGCATCCAGATTCTTGTTCTGACATTTCTGGCATTTGTTCATTTGGTTGAAACAAATAAAAAATGGATATCCAATCTCATTCAGATTCCACGTGTCTCCAATGTCTCTACTATCTGAGATTGCATCCTTCCTGGATGATGGATGCTATGCTACTCCTCTGTGATCTGGAATCTGTACAGGAATGACAAGGAAGCTGTACCTCTTGCAGACTCTTCACATTGTCTTCTGAGCAAGATGGAAGCAGGACTAACATGCTGAGTTTCCCCATGGTGTACTTCATCTCCAGGATCTGTGCCTGCAGTTCCTCAATGAAGCCAATTCTGAACTTCCCCTTCTGATTCATCATCTTTACCGTCTTCTTCTCATTCTGCACAACATGGAGGTAATCACAAAAGGTCATGGAGAACTCCATTCATAATCTCAACATCCCTGAGAATGAGGGAGGTTCAAGAATGGAAGAATCTACCCCAGAAGTCCCCAGTCAAACTAGTGGCCCAACCTATGACAACCCTCTGCCTACCAATCAATGAAGCAGCCCTGGCTTTGCCAACTCTTTACCCTCCTATGTCCTTCATCAGTTCCTTTGCTCATGATATTACTTACTACTAGATTTTCAAGCCAAATATCTCCCACACCCTAATTCAGTCCAAGCAAGTCCAGAAAGAACTAAGTCATCAATGTACATCCTGATAATATTCAGGAACTACCTGGCTGATTTGCTCTATTTCCTGGACTGCCTACAACACCCAGACCACTTTTGCCCCCGCCCAAAAAAGCTCAGTGTTTACAATCTCTGACTAGGGGATATAGGATAGATAAAAATAGGGGAAGATGGTCAGGGTTGGGGACAGAAAATTTAGAGGTAAGTTGAGCTGTCTCATGTGTTAACTATCTGAGATAAGAAGCAGATTCAAAATGAATAGACCCATCTCTTTTCTTAAGTGTATACATTTGTTTTGTTTTATTTTTTATTACAAGGTTTTAATATGTAGATCTATATTTGTGGTGTTTCTTGTGTAGACAAAGCTAGACTTGAACTTGTGGGGATCCTACTGCCTCTGGCTCACAAATGCTGGGCTTTTAGACATGTGCCCATCTACACAAACTTTTAACAAATTATATGCATTTAGTATATATGTAAAGCCCTAAAATGTATGTGTGTTGTAGAATAACTATATTTAAAATGTGCAGGGAACTTTGGGTACTGCCTTTTGTAAACACAAAATGGTTTATTATAGATGTAAGCCACAACTAAAAGATCTAAACATCAGGTTTGAGTCTGGACACTACTGATCACGGTTAGCAGAAATTAGGAGTGGGCTATCTAAAAACAACAACCTAATACAGTAAGTACCTCACTTAGAGAGAAAGGTGCATCAACTGTGTTTTCACAGTCAAATTCTTTCTCCCACTTGGCCTTGAAGTAAACCGCATTCACTAGCACCAGCACAGTCGAGTCATCAATAGCCTCCTTGCTGAACAGCTCCTTGATTTTACCTAGAAGAACGGTGCCAGAGAATAACCTGAGCATGTGTTACATGAACGATATTCATGGAGACATTAGAGAGTGTCTCACTCAAGAACTTACCCAAGAAACCTAGAGAGTTATGGGTGCTTGAAGGAGAGTGGGAGTTGTTGGGGAGAAGGCTCACTCCCCTAGAGGAAGACCCAAGTCAGAGCACTGGGAACAAGAGCATCTTCTATGATTTTCTTGGTCACTTTTGGTTACAAATTGTCACCAGACATTTATGATTTATGTTTCATATTATATATCTAATCACCTGAATTTTATAATTTCTTGGATAGAATAACTACAGTATGAACTTCCTTTCTCAAGCATTTATTGAAGTTCAACATATGCTCTCACATATAAACAGATAGATGGATGATAGGCAGGTTGTCAGCTAGATAGATAGACATATAAATATATGAGAGACAGAGAGAGAGAGACTAGGCTACAGTATAAAGCTTACTCTGTAGAAGTTTCTACACTCTCTTTCAATTTAAATGAAGAGTTCATTAAGTTTCACAAACACGCAAATTAATTTGTAGGGGTACCCTCTAAACCCCACTTAATGACTAAGCCTCCCAGAAGTACTGATAGCTTTCCATTCTTAATGGAATAATTTTATGTAAGTAATAAAAGGAGATGCCCAAGAGGCAAAAATGAACAAGGTGAGTTATCGTTGATCCTGGGGCCTTCCATCCCTCAGACTAGCTCTCATCAGGCACCCTCCATTCTAAAATAATATTAAGAAAAATGGGAAGCATCCCTAAAATTGGCAAGAGGTGGTCCTTGCTGTCATCAAACACTTAGTCCATTTCAAGACACGTCCTTTTCTACCTTACATCACCAGCCACTTTAACGCAGGCTAAGGTCTTAATGAGGGATATTAATTTACATTGAGAAAGGCTGTATATAGATTCTGTAACACATTATATCTATCAACTAATACTTAAAATACATCAGGAAAGCTAACTTGTTAAAGACTCTTGATGCCCGTGTGGGCCCAACATAGAAAATATATATTAGGGTTCAGTCATGATTTCTTTACCAAGCTACTACTCTCTTGATAACTAAATTGTACCTTGAAAGAGCAGGAATTCTGTGGCACACAGAAAAGGAAGTGTAAATATTTGTGGGACTTAAAGGTTTCCCCTACAAAAAACACTATTAATAAGCTGACCTTAACTCCATGTTAAAAGCATAGCAAACAATGAGTATAAGCATCCAAATGAAATGCAAACTAGAGAGTATTGCACCAAAGACCACTAATAATCTAACCACTGAGGTTCCCTGCTGGCAGTCACTCAAGTGTGCAAGTGCCCCCAGTCAGTGTCTCACTTTAGATTACCACCTTTCCTTCGTGCTCGCCCAGGTTCACTGAGCAAGAATGTCTCCAACTCCACTAGTAATCATCACTACCCTCTTCTAACACTCAGGCCTGACATAAAGAACCAATGTTTGTAAAGGAAGCTTGCACACACAGGTAAAAAGGGGTTCTTCACTATCTAGAGATTCAGGCTGACCACATGTCACTTCCCCCTGACTGGAGGCTTGAATTGGTCGGAGTCTACCATAGTAATTGTGTGGAGTCGAGAGGCTGATGGGACAAGTGCAAGTGAAGAAACAAAAATGGTAAACCCGTTGAAACAGTTTAGGCTTTTCCCTTGTTGGCTGAGTCATAATCAACTGAAAAACGAAGAGGCCCAACTCTTGTTTAACTTATTTCTTATTAGAATAAATAAGTAAAACCTGCATGCATACATGACAGTTTTATTTGACCATAAAGAAGAATGGAATTATGTTATTTTCAGGAATGTGGATGGAAGTGTGTGTCATCGAGGTAAGCAAAATGAGCCAGGCTCAGAAAGACAAATAGCCCAGTTCTCCTCTCCTGCTGGGTTTGAGTATGAAAGGTGGGCACGTGAGGGTGGAAGGGGCTCTAAAGGGATAGGAAACAAATGGGTGATGGGGAAGGAATATAAAACGCTGCCTGCTTTCTCTCCTACTGAGAATCTAAAGTCGTATAGATGACAGGATATGGAAGCAGGAGGACTGGTTGTTCCAGGAGAGGAGAGGGGCTGGCAAGGTGTGGGGGGGAGTCCTAGCAAACTGCAATCATATATACACATGCATACATGCATACAGATGCCATTGTGGAAATGTAAGTCACTTACCTGACTTAAACTCCCTAGTTTCCCTTCATTCTTAATTTATCATGAAAAATGATGCTAAAGTATATATGCATAGGTAGATTCTTATTAAGCCAGCTTATTTCTATATAAATTCTAAGTATATGTAATGCATTATGAGTGCTACTATAGCTTTCAACATTATAATTTCTCAACCAAAAATTTTTAAAGTTTTATATCATCTTGTTACATGATAGATATTGTAAGTAAAAGTAGAATCCTCAATAATTTGAATATGATGGATGAACTACAATTTTAAATGGATATCGTGTAAAAAGATGAGCTTTGGTGCTATGTACAAAGATGCACTTGGTGCTGCAAACATTGGTGTGTTTCCAGAAGAGAGAGTGACTCACTTACCATTCACAGGAAAGCTGTGATAAAAGCCCTGGGAGCTGAAACATGCCTGAAAAATCATGGGCTTGCAAGGCTGCTCAGAGGGGGAAGCCACTTGCTGATAAGCCTGACAATCTGAGTTAAATCATAGGACCCACATGGGAAGAGAGAACTGGCTCCTACAAGTTGTCCTCTGACATGTGCATGTCGAGCTCATGCCCACATGAACACACTCACACACACGCACAATAAATAAATAAGAGTAATTTCAAAAGTCTTTAGAAATCAGAGATCCCAACTTGTTCACTCTCAGACTTAATGTTTCTATTTTCCCTTTTGTCCCTTTCTTTTTAATATTTACCCTCTCAAAGTTTTCATTCCTTGTAGTATTATGCATGTGTACATGCCTGGGTTATCAGTGAATGTCGTACTTAGTTTGCTATTTAAAAGTACTTTGATCTCTACATTTCTTCTCATTCAATTCTTATAACAGATTCTATCCTCAAAACTGTTCCCATTTTTCAGTAAAAATTTCATTTGTTTCTACACAATTTTATGAAACATTAATAATTTAAAATTATCTATTTTGAACCAATAATGTTTTGATTGACACTTTGGTGATAAAAACGCTAAACTCATACTACCATGATTTAGATGAAGTAGAGTTATACAGAATCATCACCCTAAGGATTTAGTTTATTGAGAATAAAATGTTACTATTTAAAAAAAAAATCAGAGGTCCTAGAAGGAAGAAAAAGCAGAAACAAATGGTTGACATGCAAGTAGCCACCACCCTGGATGTGGCCAGCCTCGTCCGATGCTGTCCAGCAATGATCTGTGAACACGCACCACACATGAAAACGCCAGCTGCAGGAGATGCGCAACCTGTACAGTGGGCCCACTGCTTTCCTTTGAGAGGGAAAGGAATGTCAGCCTCACTGCTAGACCTTTCTTACCTTGGCATTGACTTTCAACCCAGAAGTTTATCTCTTGTCTCGACTTCTCAGTATCCCCCCGGAAATCTACACTTTCAACTGTCGTGTGGTAGAATTTAATTACACCATCGAAGTACTCCTGTTCAATTCAAATATAGGGGAAAGAGCATGACAAAATCATGTGGAGATGCTGGCAGTTAGGATGAGACGGGGATAAGAAGACCCCAGAAAAGAAACATCAAGGGGGTGGCCACCTTAGTGTTCACAGGCTTTGGGGGGGGGGAGATGGCAAAGTTTCAGAAAAGCATGATTGTTAGTTGTAGATATAATTAATTCCACTTACAAACAAACTTTAAAATGGTTTAGATGTGTATTTTATTAGTTTGCATTTAAGTATCATTTTTAATAAATATTACCAAAACATTGATTTGTACAATCTTTAATAAATGAATTGCATGTGTGGATTTAATTATCAAAATTCTATGGTTTTGTAAGCTGATGTAAGATACCAGCCAACTAAAATAATTTATTGTGACGTAAAGTAGGACCTTAGCACCCTTGACTAATCCAGTTCACACCAGCTGTGCCACATCTGCCTCTATTCACATACATCACACTTATTGGCAATGTGGCTCACTTTCTTGACCCTGGATCCTAATTGGAGCCTAATCTGCTTTGTGTGAAAACTGCCTACCCACAGAAAAAAGGCCTGTGGCTTTGAGCACCCAGTGGGGTCACCTTCCTTGGCACCTTGCACCTTCTGCAAAGCGCAGTCCCCATGGGAACTATATAACTGAGGCACAATAAAGGTTCTTAGACAAGTGCCTTCAGGGCAGCCAACAGGTAGAGAAGCCACAAAATGTGACCACCATGCACCTTGACTGGGGAAGACAGTCAACTTAGCATCTTTCAAAGTCATGTATGTGCCAGTGGGCTGTGAATCACGTGACCCTCCTGTCCATGCTGTGCCAGTTATAAGTGGACTCCTAAACCCAAAATGAAAACTGGATGGAAGGAGACAGAAGTCTAGGACCTCGTGAAGCAGGTTGTAGCCCATAGCCACACGGACTATGGGGAAGATGAACCATCCACCTATTCACTTACTTATGGAGCATGCTCTGTGCACATCTCCATCCCTGTAACTCACCGGGCAGATTGGGAATCCCTGCTCTCCGTAGAGTCTGTTAGCCATACTCAGAGTGTAATATGTTTTGGCTCTGTCTAATCTGGAGAGAAGTTTCCCAAAGTAGCAGCCAAGCAGTACATTCTCATCTGTGGATTCATCCTAACAAAAGAAGAAACACATGCTTTCCTAAAAACCGGGAAGTTATGCACCACTAAAGAAATAGTATCTTCACAGGAGCAAAGCATTGCTGGCCAGGCAGACTTCATTGTCCTGTGTTACCAGGTTTGGGGAGGCAGAGAGGACTGGGGGACAACTAAGGACACAGCTGACTGTGAAACCTGCCCCAAGCTGCAGAATAAGCATCTATCTTCAGGCAGAGCACAGGCGCAGTGAGCAGATAGCAAAAAGCAGAGTACTCAGAGACTTGCCTGCCACTCCTGAGACGCTGGTGCTTGTTTCTGCCCTTCCAGAGAGCTGTCAGACAATGCTTCTCCTCTGCTTTTTGAGCAGGGATCATTGGGTTCCTGGCTCCCACTCGTGGAAAGTTCACTGAAGTGCAACACCTGTGATTTAATGACATAGGGCCTTTCAGATAACATGAAGAATAGGAAGTCAACAAAATAATCGACAGGAGTTCCCGGAAGTGGGTGTGGCTGGTAGTGCCCTCCTCCTCTACACGACATCAGCCATAGAGCGCTTGCCTAGCACACAGAGCCCCACACTCCTTTAACCCCAGAGGATGCAGGAAGATTAGGAGTTCCAGATTATTCTCAGCTTCATAGAAAGTCTGATGCCAGCACAGGTTATATGACACCTTTTCCAAAACACAAGCAAAGAAAGGAAAGAGAAAAACTAGAATTAATATAGTCAAATCAAGGGACAGGAGGAATTCATGAGCTATGTGCCATTACTAACCTACACACTTTTCCATGCACAGTCTTAATTGCGTGCAAATCTAAAATATACATGAGGTCTTAAAGGTAGGATAAAAAAATAATGTAAAATATCTCACTAAAATACATATTGATTATGTATTGTGGAAATGTTGAATTATCTACATTTTGTTATTAAACTTAGCCTTGTCTTTTGAAAATTTGTATGTGACTACTAAAAGTGTTTTAAGTTCACGTGTGGATTTAGTTGTATTTGCATAGGACAGTGCTGACCCAGAGTTTCACATCAGTCAGGAGAGTGAGTGTAACATAAGGCAAGCTGCTCAGTGTGTTGGAGGAAGTGGGGAAGGGCAGGCACACCCTGCACTGCTTAGATCCACTTTATGGGAGCTGCATGGAGAAAGAGCACCAGGTGGTCTTGGAAGATGCAAGCCCCATTCTACCGCTAAGTGTTGCTTATGGAACGGGAAATAATGGTAAAGCAAGAGCAAGTAAATGTAAGAGCATAGTGACCCGCAAACAAGTGTGCCTTGATCTGTAAATCCAGCTCCTCCGTGTGTCGACACCCAGCCTTTGTGCGGTGTGTTAGAGTTGAGTGAAGGGGTGGGGAGCACTTCTGTCATGTGTACTCACTTACTCTTACAGGTATCTGTTGGGGGCTACTCTGGGCTGGTGCTGCTGTAGGACAAAATCTCTTGGAGATCATGCTGTATTACAGAAGGTATGGGAACAATATGCACAGCAATTGGTAACTGTGTGTACTGTGATGAGAAGTACTGTGGGTAAGTGTGCCAGGCTCATTTATAGGAGTGGGAGCTTAGATGGAGCATTAGATTGGAAGATAGGAGTGAGCCTTTCAAAGGTAGTAAACAACGATGAAGGAGAAAGTAAACCAAAGTGTTGGAGTGTGGTGGTTTGAACAAAAATGGCCTCCATAGGCTCATAACATTTGAATACCTGGTCTCTGATTAGTGGAACTGTTTTTGAAAGCGTGAGAATGTGTGACCTTTTTGGAGGAGGTTCATCACCGGTTGTGGGCTTTGAGGTTTGGAGATGTGCACCATTCCTAGAGTGTTCTCTCTGCCTCCTAGTCCGTGTTCTTGACGTGCACTCTCAGCTGTTCCTGCCACCGTGCCTTTGCTGGCCATCGTGGACTCTAACCCTCTGAAACTATAGGCTCAACCAAATGGTTTCTTTTACACATTGCTGTAGTCACAATGTTTTGTCACAGAAATAGAAACGAATGGCAAAGGAACACAAAGACCCAAACATAAGACTCATTTTCCTTTCACAGGGAATCAAGTATTAGAAACACACTGCTAAATGGGAGCAGCGTAGAATGCCTTCACAGAAGCAACCAGAAGAGATGATAGAGTTCAGAGCTCGGGCAGTTCAGAATGTCTGGATTTGGGAGGTGTATCAAAAGAAAAGCCAATGGAATTTTCTGACAAATGAAATTAAAAAGTCCAGAGGGATCTTAAGCTATTGGATAAATATCTAGGTCGTAATACACATCCAGTTAATGGAGGGAAAAGAGATGAAACATACTCATATTAAAAGCTACCAACAGTATTGGTGGCAATAACTGTAGAGAGAAAGAATGACAAGCATGAAGTCAGAGGTGAAGAGTTAAAGATGAATGGGAAAAACTATCAGGCAGGGAGGATAGAGAAGTCCCATGTGAAAGACGAATAGAAACGAAACCTTAGAGGCTTCCAAGCCCAAATGCTGAGTGCAGAGAGCAACTCCAACTCACATGAGAGTCAGATTGCTATTCAGCATCCTTCTGGATACATACCTCATCAATCTGATGGGCACTGTCACCTCGAGCTCCTAGGCGCACCATGCCAAAGGCAGCTGAGAGACTCAGAGGACAGACAAAGATGTTTTTATGAATATCATCTTTGCTTATCTTTTGGAAAAAATCGAAGCAAAATTTGCTATTTGCTGCAATAAGAGAGTCCATTGCAAAACTGGTTACCGTCTAAAAAAAAGGGGAAAAATGTAAATAGATAAAAATGGATAAACAACCAATTCTTATTTCTAATTATGACATACCATGCATAATTATTCAATGTGTTTGTGAAGAACTATAAAATTGACTGGAGGGTGACTCAATGGTAGAACACTTGCATATGTGAGATGAAGAAAGGGGAGGGGAGAGGAAGGAAAGAAGAAAAGAGAGAAGGGAGAAAGAAAGGGGATCAGGAAGGATAAGAAAAGAAAAGGAGGGGAAACAGGGGGACAAAAAAGGGGAGGAAGGCAAGGGGCGAGGGTGAGGGAAACAGTGTGAGGGAAGAGGGGAGAACTAGAAAACTAAGTGATCAACCTTCTTGCATATAAATAGCTGACTTGGTAGCTATGCTGATACAGATGGAAGTCTTTCCACTTACAGGCACAACATAAAACAATACCACCCGGCAGCAGGCTTAAGAAATAGGAATTTACTATCCCACAACCCTAGAAGCCAGAAATCCAAAATCAAGGCATCTACTGAGTTGGTTTCTCCTGAGGCTTTCGGCAAAAATCTGCCCCATGCCTCCCCCATTTCTGGTGTTGCCAGCCATCTCTGGTATTCCCTGACTTACAGAAGTATCTTTCTGCCTCCCTCTTCACATGGCATTTATATCTCGTCTACGTATGTGCACATACATGCGTCCACATTTCTTCTTCCTCTGACTCAGGACCCTGAACCAGCATGGCCTCCTCTAATCCTGATTACATCTGTAAAGACTGTGTCCAGATGAGGTCACATTTACAAGAACAGAGGTTAGAACTCAAAACAACAAGTCCACTCAGTCCTGCTCACTTCACTCAGGTCAAATAAAGCAAAAGCTAGCATCAAGTCAGCAGCCACGAAGACTGCTCTACCTCTTCCTCCCCTGAGATGTGCCCGGTTCTGCCTCTTCTCCTTCCTTCAGAGGACTGTGACTGAGAAAATGTCCAGGAAATCATTACGTGGCACGTCCTCAGTTACTGACCTTTATCTTTTAACATACTTTAGCCTCTCATCAATATTTTCCAGGCTGAAACAGAGCTTAAAAGCCGCCGGGGTACAGAGTCTATTGACTCTAATTCTTTTTTGACACAGCACCACAGGTGGAATAGAACTAAACCAGGAGACTGACTTCCCTAATAACGATCCCTTGCCTCACCCTCAATGTAGACTTAGAAATACCAGCAGAATAGTGTTTAGATCTCAGCCTTCTTCTAAAATGAAAAGATTTTTCTTCTTTGCTTTGCTTATGGACCTTGTGTATTTCCAGCACACAAATGTCTGACACTGAATACAGAGTAAGCCTTGAGAAATAGTTACTGCACTGAAGGCAATGGTGTGTGCTGCCTCTAACAGCTTCCCGGTCTCTTAGATGGACATTATGCTCATGAAACACAGTTCAAAAGGTTTCTAGCAACTTAAGTCAAATCTGCATGCATGCCTGACAAGTGCTAAATACTTCACATCCTGTATGTTAGTATATTAATAGAATTATAAGCAGGGTTTATAGAATAAAATTAGAATTTAACTTTATATGTGCAATCCAGTAATAATCTCATTTAGCTGATCAAATAAAAATGTTTTATTTATTCTTTCTAAAGAAAAAAAACAAAACAAAAAAAAAAAGAAATGAAGTGACTTGCACACCACCACGTGTGGGCCAAGAGAAAAGGCAGGCTATGAACCTCGCCACGCCCAGGCTTGTTCTTTGTTGCAACAACTTGTCTAACTAGCAATATTCTGCACTTGCTTTTAACGCTCATGCTATCTTGCTCACATTGTAAATACCCTCATACTCTGCCACCTCTGCACAAAACATCTGAAGGTTTTTATGAAGTACTTTTTGTGATACTCTTGGCCTGCTGCTCGTACCCCAGCCTCATTTTCTGAGTATGAATGGCTTAGAATGCCACAGACTGGCTTTCGTCGCCTTGTGAAATATGGTTGGCTTTAGTACTTCCTTTCAAGGAAGAATTTTTAACAGAAAATGGCCAGATAAAAAGAAACAGCAGCCCGGCGGTGGTGGCGCACGCCTTTAATCCCAGCACTCGGGAGGCAGGCAGATCTCTGGGAGTTCGAGGCCAGCCTGGTCTATAGGAGCTAGTTCCGGGACAGGCACCAAAGCTACAGACAAACCCTGTCTCGAAAATAAACAAACAAACAAACAAAAAAGAAACAGCAGAGTTTTGTCACAACACTAACAAGATGTAAATGCCTACAATATGAGCACTCTTCCTGGCTTTACACAAAAGTTTAGAATATAAAAAAATTGAACATATAATAACTTGATTTATATGTCATCCAATAACCAAGTTCTCAAAGTCAATCAGCTGGTTGGTCAGTTAGTCGATTGGTTGGTCTATTAGGAACAGTTCTCATATTTAAAGATATCCTATTTATTCAATAACTATTTATAAGATTCTTGTACTAAGTTAGACAGTGTGGAAGGGTGAACTGAAAGAGAAGCAATGTTTGCTTTTGACAAATATTGACAGAACATATAACTTTCCCAAAAACACTGTGTGGTTTCTTAAGGAGAGGAGAGTACTTACCCTTGAGGGTGGGTTTGGAGAACAGTGGTCAGTCTCAGGTAGAAACATTAGCAATCTAGCAGACTGACTCCCCAAACAGAACAATTATAGTGTTTGCTAATTTCTGTGGTGAAAATGCACCCACTTGTGGTAATTTTCAAACTGCCAACAAAACACACTGTACCCAGGTTTGGGGAGAGGAGTAAAATCTGCATGAAAGCCGGGTGATGGTGGCGCACGCCTTTAATCCCAGCACTCGGGAGGCAGAGGCAGGCGAATCTCTGTGAGTTCGAGACCAGCCTGGTCTACAGAGCTAGTGCCAGGACAGGCTCCAAAGCCACAGAGAAATCCTGTCTCGAAAAAAAAAATCTGCATGAAAAGGAGAATATAAGTTCCAGAAGGAGGACCCTGCTCCCTGAGCATGAAGGAAACTTCTAGATCTGCTCATGATCTCTTTCCTGATCTAGGTGTTTGCTTGCATGGTAAACATATCTGTTTACATACATAAATACACTTCTGTGGTTTTATATATAAAGATAGCTTGCATTAATATATATATGTATATATGTATATTTATATTTCATTATAAAAGGTATTGTAGATGTATTATCAAGCAAGACAGTTAGTTTAAAACATTGCCAGTTTGTGTTTGGTACAAAAATGAAGAATATTGGAGAACTGAGACACAATAGCTCACAGCGAAACTTAGGCTATAGAAACAAGCAGGGTGTGATCTCCAAGTACCAATAGGATGTGCTTCCCTTTTACTGGGACAAATATTCACTGCTCAAAGTGAGGTTGCTTAAGTCTGAAGATGATTGATTGCTAGTACAGTCTGTCTCTTCAGCTACAACTTGAAAAACTTGAACATGATTTATCCCAGTCATCACTAATTCCAAACAAACCTGAAATAATCTTTTAAAGCAGCAAAGTTCCCTTAAATCCACTCAGGTCAGGCATTTAGAATACCCTCACACATGATGATTTTAGACTTTTAGACACGGTGTACTCAGTGTTCTACAAATATTGTCTCTAATTCTCAAAAAAAAAAAAACAATCTTTTTTTAACTCCACAGTGAATTATTTATTTAAAGTGAAAAAACTAATATTGTCACATATATGCAACCTCTAATTCATTGGCTTAGATAAAATATTTTTTGCCAGTTATTGAAATAGGCATTGGGAAATTTAAACACACTACATAGATACAAGTTTCTATCCTACCCGATCCAGCAAACTTTCAGTTCCAAAGAATTTCTTATGAAAAAACAATCTTTTAAGATTAGAAATTCACACCCTCAAAGTAAGCGATCAGTAGTGTGTGGATTAGTCACCTGGGTCTGGCAGCAGGTCCTAGCCTTGCCTTCTGCATTTCCCAGCCCTCAACAAAAGCTAGCACCCAAGTGCCACATCCTGGCTGCCCATCACCCACCTCTCTGCTATGACAGGCTTGTGTCTCTCACCAAGACAACTACTTGAAGAATTCCCAGACTAGAGGGTCCATCTTAGCACTTCCTTGAATGGCTTCCCTGCCAAAGGGTGTCTTAGACTCCAGTGTATCCTCACAAGACTCTGGTAGTCATTGCTCATAGTATTTAACCTTGTAAAATCTTTTCATACTGCATTGAAGCCTGCATGATTACAAACAGAAATTGAGATAGCTAGACTGCAAATAACCTTAACCTTAACTGAGATCCTCTTGCATAACTGCATATCTGCTGTCCCCGAGATCACCTCTTTCTGATCCTGGCTATATAGAGATAAGGTAATGGGCAACATTTATTCAGAAAATGAAATAAAAAACCATTTGTGTCAATAAAACGGTCATTTTTGTCAACATTTCCAATTAACTGATTTACTATTTCACTTCTAACAAAATATAAAAAGTGTGACGATATAAAAGAAATTTGATTCTCCAATTCTAAGTCGTCATACAGATGAAAAGATAATGACAATGAGAGCTTTGTTCTCATAATATTCTTGGCCTCACTGTTTTTGTTTCCCATGTGTTTTCAGGTCTTGAAATTTCAGCATACACTTCATGTGTGTGTACATGTGTGCAAATGTGTGGTGTGTGCATGTGTGTACATCTGTTCATGTATATATGTGTGTGTTCATGTACGTATGCATGCCCACGTGAGTTGGTACATGTGTGCATCAGTGGACACACGTCTTCCCCACTCCTCACTTCAGATTGTGTCTTGAGTGTGTATTTACAATGTAACTCTTTTCATATTTTCCCTTTTCACATTGTTACAATTCAATGAATATATGCATTTTTAAACTAATGTCTTCCTACTGACCAGTTTTTATTAGTTTTCCTTCTTTCTCTATTATGAAGTGAACATCTTTATAAATACAGTTTTCTCCTCTTTCATCTTATTAACTTATGATACTTCTCAGCATGAGATTTATATGTCAATAACATATGAGGTTTTG